TAGAAAGGCAGCAAATTCTTCTCAATTATTTTAAGACCCTGAGTGTTGGTCCGGCCGGGGCTCAAACCCTCAACCTCCCACACAACAGTCCAGCGTTCTATCCATTGAGCTAACCGGGAGGCAGTTATCAAGCCGACAAGTGATGAGAATAAAGAAAAATTAGGAGATTATTGGTTGATCTAATTCCAAATTCTTAGAACTAAACACCATAAGAATGGTATGGCAGACAGTAAGGAGAATTTCTCAATATGAGATCTTAAAAGTGAAAATTCAATAGTAGTAAAGTTGGTTACTAGATAACTCACTTGCAAGGTAACCATGACCACCACAGGCCTCACGGCATTCCTGAATAGTGCTTTGTGCAACCCAACCAGCCAGAGGTTTGCTGGCTGATGACAGGGCATGGATCTCGCGTCCCAAAGCAGCCTGAAAAGTAAACATCAAAATCATATTGAATGATAAACTAAAAGAACATTAATCTGTTCAATGTTGTATGGAGATGCTGCTGAAGGACATGTTGTCCTTCAGCAGTATCGTTGAAATATATATAAATTAATCCAATGAAGCCTTACACTGCTGTAAAAGAACATCATTCTGTGGAGGATTTTCTCAAATCTCTTTAAACTACTACATGTGATATGCTAATAACAACTATAATATTATAACTTAAGTTTTTAAAGTTATTTGTGAACTTTTCCCTCAGAAACAAACAACCAATTAATATTGAGAATTAATATTAAGTTTTGGGGAGTGAAAGAAGATAATGCACAATTTTCAGGTAGCAGGCAAAAGCTTAAAACCTCAGCTTATAAACTCAGTAGGGTGGCTAGTTTACATTTTCAACTCAGTTGATGAAACCAATGTACCGGAATGTCATAATACCCCCAACCAATGCAGTACCTCAGTTTCTTTAGAAACTTACCCCGTTAAGTGTTTCCATGTGGGTATCTATGGATTAGGGGTTTGTCAAAGGACATATCAAGAAAGGATTGCAGTGGTGGTAACTGTGGTTTTGATAAGGAATTAATTTTCTCTTAAGGCTAATTATTAATTTTTTTGCCCCTCTTTTTAAATCAGCCATATTTTTCTTTGTAAACTTGATTGACATTAACTCACTTGTACTTCACCTGATTCTCCCATCATCATGCCAACTTGTAGCTCAACAAAATTCATAAAGAAGGTCCTTGCAAAATAAGCTAGAGCATATGTTGCTGCTAACTTGGGAATCAGTCTCCATTGCTAGGAAGCAGTAAGAGTTTGACCTCACTTACGAGGGAATGGTTTTTGTGTTTTATGAAAAATATCTACCAATAATACCAAAAGTTGTAGCCTACAAGCAGGCACTTGTTAATAAATTACTGCAGGATGTACACTTCTTTTCTAGTGAGAAAGTTTGAAGCCTCTTGAAAAACAAGCTAACAAAAGGTCTGAGAGGGGGTTTGCTCTCTTTTTTGTGCTAAAACTCTCACAGACCACTTATGACCTCAAATTGCTTGCCAGCTTGAGGAGAAAAAGAGTTGTTGGGAAAACAATAAACAACCTTGG